TGCCCATACTCGCAGTAGGATTCCATCCTTCAAAACTGGATGGCTCTAGGTACCGTTGTTTTATCACAATGCGAGAAACATACATGCATTTATGCAGATTCTTCATTATTTAATTTCTTCAAATATAATACAGGGCGATAGTATTTGGTGGCAACAGTTTGAAAAGTGAAACGGACATTCAGAGTGATTTGACACAAAACGAAAACAACAGTCCCTCAGGGACAAAGGCCCTTTGGACTAGGAACATTATTGAATACGTTCCTAGTACATTTTGGGCTCTGTCAATTCATTTGGGCTTGGGAAGCATTGCTTCTCCAACTGTTCAAAAAATGTTAATTCCCCCCCCCTCCCCAGAAGCAGCAACGTGCTCAAGCAGATGCTTTCTCAATGTATTTTTTAAAACGCATTACTGATGAAATACGGATTTACTTGTGATATAAAAGCAGTTCAACAATCAAGTAAGTGCCACTTAAAAAGGCGAAGCAACACCGAAAAGACAAGTTCAGGTTAAGCCAAAAATCAAGGTACTAGAGTTTGTTTTCTTCGACTCACGTGGTGTTGCGCATCATGAAATGTTATCCAAGCAACCAACTGATGATACTGAACATTACACAAGCATAGTTACGTAGCATCCACATGAAGAAATTTGTAGAAAATGGCCTAAATTGCGCCGAGGTAACTCACGGATTCTGCTTCACAAATAATACACCTGCTCACACCGATATTGTTGTTCGTGAATTTTTAACCCAAATTGAAAACAACTAACGTCATCACAAGCTCTACATTAATCTCCCATATAGCACCATGCGTTTTATTATTATTATTATTATTTCTATGATTAAAACTGTCGTTTCATGGTCAGCGTTTTGAGTCTATTGATGGAATAAAAAAATTGAAAGAGTTTCACAGAAATGACTTTTAAAATATATTTTGAAGATTGGTAAAAACATCGGCATAAATGCACAGCAGCCGGAAGAGATTATATTGAACAGAATTGGTAACTTCTGGTTAATATAAACTGAAACCGTGCGTTTTATGAAATCTTTTTCCAGTACTGTTTAATTGCGGTAGCAATTTAATTTACTCAATTTGATACAATATTTAAAAAATCTCAGTGTACAGCACATAACTTCCTTGTACGGAATATTAAATTATACGAATTTTTTCCCGCATTTCATTTGTAAGAATTATGTTAATTTTATTAACATTTAAATTTTGAGTTAAAGTTACTTTCCTGTCGGTTCTTAACTTCAACTTACTACTTCCGGCCAGAACGTAGTTTTAGAACCACGTCTGAATACATAATGAGGTAGAACGGTATTTAACCCCGAATGAGAGTTACCAGGTATCCTGTTTGCACGCGTCCGCCTTTTTAGGCTATTCTCTCGTAGCTATATACGCTCAGCCGTACTTTAGCCCTTGATAGCTTCGCAGTCTATAACGTTAAGGGCCAACTCTGGCGAATCTTGATAGCTTCGCGTCTATTAACTTTAAGAGGCAACTCTGGTAGAATCTTGATGCGGCTAATATCTTTAGATTAGTTTAGTTAATTCTTGGTCTCTAAGTTCAAAGCCCGAGTGTCGGCTTTATTGTACCCTCAAGACGGAGTTTGTTAAACTTTAGTTGAAATAATAAAGGACTAGTTTACCCTTCTATCTTGTTGTTTCATGTCATACGAACTCAAGCGATTATTCGCTTATCAGTTCTTAAGATTCTTCACGTTCAACAATAACTGAGCATTACAAATGTGAGGAATCTCACATTTGGCGCCCGAACTAAAAGGGTGGTGGATGATGATTTCTCCCGACCCAGGATTTGGCGATTGGGTCCCCTAAAAACCTTAGTCGCCCTTTAAAAGGGGGAGTATAGTATATAAGGTATTTCTCCTACCTTTTTGCCGTGCTTTCGTGGTATTTCAGAGGTCCGTGGTTCGATTCCCGGCGATGGCGATTGCTAATTTTTTATCTTGCCTGCTTCCAAATTAACCTAACGTCTCTATACATTTAAACTTATTTCCTCGAATTTCATTAGAGATATACTTCTCATTCAATTAATTCAGTTCTCAATTCGCGACAAAGCAAAAATGCATAAAACCTCAAAATAGTTTTATTAAAAATTGAAAAATGCAGAAAAAAAAAGTAAACACCAAACACAGTGAAAACAATTAAAAAAAAAAACATTTCTATGATTAAAATTAAGAGTTTCTACGAAAAAACAACTGGCCAACTCGCCCAGCAGACAAGAAGGCAAATTTTCGGTGCACAAAAGTGAGTTTATTTTAGATTCCACTCGAGAAAATGACACTGAAGGTGCAAAAATTGATTTAATTCACTCTTCTGCTAAGTTTCAAATGTAAACAAATATGGCTGCTGGTAAAAAAAAAATTAGGCTTAGCCGCACTTAAACAACTTTTAAAACGTTAATAATTCTATAACTATTGCATGCAGATTAACTAAAGGTATAAAAACCTTAACCGGAAGATAAGAACAGCATAATTCAATCATTTTTAAACCCAAAAAAATGCACAATTTACTAATATATAAGAATAAGAAAAAAGAGCTCACCGAGCCGAATAACAGAGTTGGTATATATATATATATACCTTTGGTGCGGCAGATTGCAACCAAAAAAGGAGGTAGACAACTACATGTTATAGCAGTCCTATACACAATATTTCAACGTTCTGGGGCTACTCGTTTTTGAGATATGCGAGATACATACATACGTACGTACAGACGTCACGAAAAATTCTCTTCTGAATCCATTTTAAATCCTTTCTGCAACTCGTTTTTGGAAAAAAAGAGTCCTTTATTCTGTCCTTACGTACAGATGTCTGGCAAAAACATCGTTAAATTGCATTCGATAGTGGTCAAAATGGATATTTTCGTTGAAATATGGTACCCGAAAATTTTCGCGATTACAATACTTCCTTTACTTCGTGCAAAGAATAAAAAAGTAAAATAAAAATTTTAATTATTAAGAACCGTCTTTATTGCTTTCATATCGTTCAGTTAGTTAATCAACAACAGAATGATTAAAACTGAAAGCTACATTAAAGATCTTATGTTTTTACGAATGGTAACATCATGAGAACCGTCTGTGGGAAAACGCATGGAAGAATAAGGTCTTTATCGTTTTCGCACAGTAGCAAGACATTGCTTTTAAATCGCTCGGTTTGATAATTAAACAACAGATCGATCAAATCTGAAAATAAATTAAACATCTAATGCTTTGCCGAGTAAAAACATTCTGAGAATCCATTATGAGCAAGACCACATGGAAAGTTAATTAGAAATTCCAGATTCTGGGCAGTGGCCAACATGTGCCAAAGCCAAAAATTATTTCTCTTCTCTTCATCCGTCCATTTTGACACGGCAGGATTTTATACGTTGAGTGAAAACAATACAATATAGAGTGTGCTCACACACTTTTGTAACGACTTTGCGAGGATTTATATGTAAACAAACCTTAGAATTTTATTTTTGAATATGTTCAATCTGATAGCCCTTTTGCTGAACTATCATATTACATTTTTCCAAGATAAAAAAGTCATTCAGATTTTCTTGAAACATCAAGGTTGATTAATTTAGAAGTCAAACAACAAAAATCGGTGTTAACGCTGATTACGCTAATTTTTGTTGTTTGACTTCTAAATTAATACTTAATTCGACGTGTTATTGTATCTAAATCAAGGTTGATTTTATTGACTCTTCCTTCACAATTTTCCAGACCTCATCCAATGTTTCGGGATGTCGCTTATAAAGAGCTTGTTTTAAAAGTCCAAATGCAGAGAATCCATAGGAGACACATCAAGGGACTTTGGGTGGGATGCATTTAAAGGGAATAGCTTCCATTCCCGTTCCATTTATCATTTCTTCAAGAAATAGAGCAATACATTTAAAGGTATGGCTTGGAGCTTTATCCGGATGGAACTTAACATAGTTAAGATGTTTGGATAAAGAGATGGTATTTCTTCTTTAAAAATAGGGTGTCAAAACAATTTCTGTTGGTATTTCGAATTAATTTTGACATTTTTTTCTACTTTCCTTATTTTAATTTTTCAATTATAAGAGAATCAAGTAAAACCTTTAGAAAAACTTTTCTTGTTTTCTCAGAACCAGCATATTAAGCCTTTTTCTCCTCTTTTTTTGGTAGTAAATCGACCTTTTGCTATTGCAACCAGGTAAGTACTATAGTCAAGCCTTATCAATTGTAACTATATATTTCCATTTTTCATCAGCCAAATGACTTTCATACAGCAATAATCTGCATATAGTCTTACGCTGAGAAACATGTTTCGGTGATGAACATTATAATATTTTTTTCCTTCTTTTTAACAGCTTTAAATTAGATTTTATAATTTTGTTCACACTTCCTACAGAGATATTTAAAGATTTTGCAATACCTCTTTGAGGGACTAGATTTTCCTTTCAAACATAAGATGTGACTCTAGATTTAATAAGAGCTGTACATATCTTTGTTGGCATGCATTTTTTGCCTTTTGCCCAGTCAGATGTAAACTTTGACGTTTCTTTCCTTTCATATTAATTATGTCACTTATTTTACGTGTAGAAGTATTAAAACCATGGTTTTCACACCTTTTTTTAATAATTGAAAAAGAGTACTTCTCTTCGGACAGCGCAAAAACATAGCCTTCTATTCAGTGTTTATTTTTCGGCGACATTTTAAAGAGAGAATATTTTAACGCTGCAGACGATAATTGAACCTTATTCCAATCGGATGCCAGTCACATTTGTATTTTAAAATTACTATTTAAATTCATGGAGAAAATCAAAATCGTTACAAAAATGTGTAAACACCTTCTGTACATCTCCTTTAAGATATTTAACTAATCAAAATAAAATTTTATTTAAAGTAAAATTTAGCGGGGGAAAAAAGGCAACGATAGAATTTCTGTTTTCTGCATAGTTTAAACTTAAAATACAAAATTTAAAAAACAAAAATAGCATAAATCACATGTAACTGCAAAAACTGAATACCTGAATAAAATCTCCACTCCGGATCAAACCTGTAAGACAACAGCAGTCTTCATATTCGTACTCATCTTCGTCGTCGTATCCTGGATACTCGCACAGATCAGGAGCAGTACGTAATTTCGCATTATCCTGCCTACGACCACTCGAACCGTTGCTCCGAGAACGGCCACTCATGACAAACAAAACATTCAATGCTTCAAAACATTTGCATTTTACATTAAATATGCCGTCTAAATGCTAGAAGCTAACTGTTACGTTGTTGATCTTTATGTACTACAAATATTACTCTTATCGTCTGTTTGTTTACCAAACACAAACCGAAAAAAACTGATGCAAAAACCCGAAGAAACACATATGTTTAAAAATATACAACGTTTAGTGGATGGGAGAAAGGGAAAGAGACTAAATAAAATCACACTGAAATGTAAAATATATACAATAAAAAAAAAGGGAAAGGATGCGATTTGTAGAAAGGAAAAAACTAAGATAATTTTGCTTTTCTTTTTGAAGTCGATGGATTCCAAGAATTCTTTGGACAAGCAAGAGTTTTAACTTCTAGTTCAAAGCAGCAGCAAGCGACGACGATGGATTTTCTAAAACTATTCGTCTAGTGTAAAAGTATTCAGCAGATGTTTTATTCAGAAAGAAATCAGAAAGGTTTCAAAATTCTGCAATTATTTCAAATGAACTTCGGAATACGGTAATTACGAAACAGTGAATGAAAATAAATAGCTAGGTTAACGAAATAAATGCTGGCTCACATTCCTATTTTTTACGGAAGATAAATGCAAAAAATTTTAATGAAGTTTTTGTAAATTACCTAAGGTAAGAAAAGAATCGCAAAATTTGTATGGATTTTGACTTGACTAAAATTCTTTATACAAAAGTGACCAATCAAGTGAAACATACTTGAAATAAAAGCCTATTACACAATATCGGAATGGCAACTGATAGGAAGTTGCTACCAGAAAAACGCTGATGGAAAAGACTATGATAAACTGAGGTAATTCGTTCCACGCAGAATAAACTAAAAGACAGAATAGGGAGGGATCCACTTCGGTACGCCACCTGCGAGCTTAGGAGGACAACTCTATTAGAGATGCCTCGGCCACACCCATTCCATTTAAAAGAGGAAATTGAGGAAGCACGAAAGAACGCGGATCATCATCATCTATCCATTCAATGAAAGATTCACGAATTGCCTAACATAATATTATTTGAAAAACGCGGAAACATTCTAAGACATGTTAAACCGTTTCATCAAAAATTTTACAATAGTAGTAATACACTTAAGCTCTGGATAAGATTAATTTTGAACACGCATTCAAATTCTTTGACTGACTTTTAAACAGATATTATGAAATTCGATTAGCCTAGTAATCTTGACAGCAATTTTAAATGAACACATACAACATTCTCTATACAGTACATTCTCTATACAGTTCTATTCAGTGTTTATTTTTCGGCGACATTTTAAAGAGAGATTATTTTAACGCTGCAGACGATAATTGAACCTTATTCCAATTGGATGCCAGTCACGTTTGTATTTTAAAATTAATATTTAAATTGACGAACATTGAGACGATCAAAAACATCACTACTTTTTGAAAGCATACACAACAGAAGGCACTTTATAGCGGCGAATAAGAAAGTACTGTAGGCAAAAAGCATGAGCAAAAATTTACAGTTACAAAAATAAATTAAACAGAGCTTTTACGAAGAATAACTGAAGAATTGTGAGAGGGTAATTCAACAGCCGATCAGAAGGTATCTAAGACTCGGAATGAATGATCTCTTTTTATAACTCTCAAATTAAACACACAATAAGTTCATGATGAGCAACGGGAGAAATTCAACTTAATCCAGAGACGTATCACGAAAGAAAATTTTGGCAGGTAAGGAAAAATGGTAGAAAGCACGACTGAGCGTCAAAAGCGGATGACGGGATGCTTGCTTTTCCCTCGTGCTGGTGATGATAAAAGCGCTTTTTACAGCGGAGGTGGGAGGGAACGAGCAGCGCAAAGGTGTTACTGGCACGCAGCCCAAGCGACGCATTCACGTCATTTATTAAGTCCCATCATCTTCGTTCGTCAGTTTGATCCACCCTCGCTTGCACTAGACTAGGATAGATGAAAAGACGAGAAAGGTGGGAAAAAATCATTACCTTACAACATAACACTAACATATACTATTTTGTTAGGTAAAAAAAAAAAAAAAAAAAGATTTTTTAAAATTTGTATTCTCAAGGATTTAATTTTTTACCTTAAATATACATACTGCCTAAAATAGTGGGACAAAATCAAAAAAACTTTTTATCTTTCTTGGAAACGGCCTAATCAATTAAGTTCGTAGATTTAAGAAGACACTTGGGGGGGGGGAAGAGAAAGAAAATATGAAAGTTTCAGATTTTAAATTACGTCCAAAGTGTCGCCTTTTTTAACATTTTGTGTTACCTTTATTTATTAAATATCATGTTCTTCGCACTTAAACCATCAAATTCAATTCAAGAGCAATATCGCAAAATAATTTTAAATTTACTCTATCCTTAGAATTTCCGATACACAAATTCCTACGCCCTGGAGATAAAAATGTTTTTTTCTGTACAATTGCCTTGCTCGCTTTGAAATCCTTGAGTTTGTTATCAAAAATCGTTACATTTTACAAAATAGAAAATCGATAAAATAAATTCCAAATTTAATTAGGCTTCCAGATGCCCTATTCGCAGTAGGATTACGTCATTCAAAATTGGGGTCTAGGTACCGTTGTTTTATCACAATGCGATAAACATACATATGCAGATTCCTTATTCTTTAATTTATACTTTGTGGTGGTAATATTTTGATAATATTTGGCAACAATTTGAAAGTGATACAGCCTTTAAAGTTTCAACGCAAATGTCAAAAGAAAATAATAACCTTCGGGCTTTGCCCCTTTGGACTAAAAATCATCGCATTTCAATTAGAGCTAGTTAAATTTTGATTAAAGTTTGAAAAAAAAATCTGAAGTTTTCGATTTATATTACGAATCTCCTCTTTTTTTTTTAACGTGTTCCGTGATACCTTTATTTATTAAATATCACGTTCTTCGCACTTAAACCATAAAACCCAATTCGACAACAATATCTTAAAGTAATTTTAAAAGAACATATCTCTAGAATTTCCGATACACAGTCTCACGAGCTGGAGATAAAAATGTTTTTTCCCCGTACAGTGTTGCCATTGCTCGCTTTGAAATCGTTGAGTTTGTTAATGAAAAATTCGTTAAAGTTTTACAAAATTTGAAAGATATAATAAAACAAGTTCCACATTCAGGTTTCCAGATGCCGATATTCGGGTGGAGACGTACGTTATTCAATACTGGATGGCTCTAGGTACCGTTGTTTTATGACAATGCAGAAACATACATACATTTAAGCAGATTCCTCATTATTTAATTTCTTTAAATATAATACAGGACGATAACATTTGGTGGCAACAATTTGAAAAGTGAAATGCGGTTTACAGTGAAACGCCACAAAATGCCCAAACGAAATTAATAACCCTTCTGGGATAACGCCTTTTGGGCTAAATATGGATTTATTATTATTAATATAATCATATTCCACGTTGCATCATAGTTTTATATAACAGTCTATTATATAAAGTTCTGATAAAAAGTGAAGCATAATAAAACATTATTTTTAATTCTCATACACATTTCACGCCATAATTCAATACGTCATACATTTTATTAAATTCTATGCTTAATTAAAAAGTCAGTTTTAAAGTCAATTATATCAGAACATTGGTTTGCTTAAGACTTTTACATAAAAACATCAAAGCTCTTCTAGAAGATGAATCAGATAGAGATGAGAAACATTTGATTTAAATTCAATCTGATTTATCTTTAACATTATTAACAGCATAAGTAACATTAGTAACTGTTCTGGCATGCAGAGGAATAAATATTAATAAATACGTAACAGAAACGATAACAGTTCGAAGGGCAAAATGTTTATGGTCACAGTGGTCATAAAGCTAGGAAATATAATGATGACGCAGGAAGGAATCATGTAAAATATTAAAGATAAACTTTAATTATCTTAACAAACATCTAAGGCATATAACTAATAAAAAACCTTGCTCCGCTTTGAAATTAATAAATGAGCTATCTACTTCAACTTCAACCACGTGAAAAAAGAAAAGTCACTGAAGAAAAGACAGTTTTCATTATCTAAACGAACTCCTTTTATATTAATATCTAAGCTATTATAAGTTTAATATAATCATTTATTAAGAAGTTTATCAGGTATTTTCTCTGTCCTTTCTGCATGTCTTCGTGGTGTAACCGTAGCACACGGGCGTGTATTCGAGAGGTCTAGATTCGAATCTTGGGAGGACACTGCACATTTTTCAAGACTGCTGCTTAAAAAAAAAAAAAAAAATTTAAATCACTCTACATTGGCGCCCGAACGAAAAAATCGCGGACAATAATTCGTCAGGATTTATCGATTGGTTCCCCTAATCTCCAATGGCCCTTTAAAAGAGGAAAAGAGGAAGAATATAAGGCATTTTCTCCCTCATTCCAGCATGCCAAGAGGTTTAGATTTGTGTCCCGGGAAGGCATTAAAAAAAAAGGAAAAAAAAAAAAAACACTATTGACTCTACAAGTTTAACTTTCTACATTTCAAAATCGCCCATTACAAAGAAAACATCATAAAAGCGAAAACCAACAAATATTTCACAATTCTGAGAAACGATAAAAAATTAGAGCACAAATCTTGGAAAAAAATCACTGTACCCTGTGAATCAGTGTCACTTCAAACGAAATGACATTTCAAACGAACTCCAAATTGACTTGAACTCGCTTTCCAACACATGGAGCACATTAATGAACTCCTGATGTAAAATATATTAATATTGTTACGAAATGTAAAGGCGCGGTGAGATGGCTTCCCGCAAAACAGTTTTAGGGTTTCCATAAAATGGCAAGGGAATACAGGGTTGCCACATTTGGCGAGAAATCGCCCATTTGGCGACATTTGTCGACAAAATTGGCGATATACCATGGACGGTTGGAGAACCTTCTGGAACGAATTCTTAACGGTTTAGTCCAGAATGTTCCCAAACACAAACCGAAAGCTATATAAACCCTGCTGGTCCGCATCATGATGTGCTTCATAGACGAGTGTGTCTCTTATCGAGTGTGTGAGCCTCTCTAGCGATCATCCTGCGGAGTCGATCGAGTTGACGCGGGCACGAGTGCCGAGTGGGTCGTCGAGTCCACTGAAGGAGTCTGTTGGTATCGCGGTTAGTGCATCATCGGAGAACGGTAGCTCCGGAAAGACTGACCGAAGAGTGGGAGCGTGCTCGTGTGTCGTCGAGTGCTCGGAGTTATAGCGTGGAGATCTCGAGAGTACGTGGAGTTCCGAGAACGACCAAGCAGAGTGGGAGCTGTACTCCGGAAAACTAGTCGGCTACTTGCAGAAGCTGTCTCCACCGTGAGGTCTGTAACCTGAAGGCTGTGGCTGATCGTGCAGCGTGTTCATAGTAGTTCATCGATGACTGTAAAACGTGTTTTGGAACTGTCCTGACAATTATTGATAAATAAAGTGTGTTTCGATACTTCATAAAGTGTCGTCGTTATTCACTCCAAATCCACACAAACGTGAACGAAGAAAAAAACATAACAATATTTAATTAAATATTCTAATTTTATGTTCTTCGGCTAATTTCATTTTGAAATTTTCTTACACGTTCATACTGAAAAAATCCGGAACAGGGAAGAAATGTTTTTATTCATCGAAGTACTTTTAGTGATGAAGAAAGTAAGATTAATAATTAATATAGATACCGTTATATGGATAAACTTAGTAATGCATCATTTATTGACATAAAATTAAATTAAATACAAAAATTAACTGATAAATATTGGTTGAATTTTCATAAAATGTTCTACACTAAATTAATTAATGAAATTCAGATCAAATAAATTTTTTTACATTAAACCCCAAAGGGACTTTTTTTAATGTTTCGTGTGCTATCTTTATTTATTAAATATCATATTCTTCGCACTTAAACCATAAAAATTCAATTAGACAGCAACATCACAAAATAAATTAAAAAGAACATATCTATAGACTTTTCAATACGCAGTCTCGCGTGCTGGAGATAAATCCCCCCCCATACAGTGTTGCCATTGGTCACTTTGAAATCGTTGAGTTTGTTAAACAAAAATTCTTTAAAGTTTTATAAAAATATGAAATAGATAATAAAACAAATTCCAAATTAGGGCTTCCAGAAGACCTGGAGTACTCCAGGTACCTTTCTTTGCACAGTGCGACAAACATGCATACATTCATGCAGATTCTTCAATATTTAATTTCTTTAAATATAACGCAGGGTGATAATATTTGGTGGCAACAATTGGAAAAGTGAAACGCCGGTTATAGTGAACCAACGCAAAATGCCAAAACGAAATTAATAGCCCGTTTGGAATAAAAATAAGAAAAGTTACAGTAATTCAATAAATTTCAGGTATTGATGTGAAACTTTTTTTTAGTAGTGGCTGCAAAGACTAAAAAATAATAGCCGGAAAATTTGGTTATCTCCCGAGAGATGCAATGGAAAACCAAGAGAGTTGGTACATACCTCAATAAAGAATCTTTTCTTCAATTAAAATTACCAATTTATTATTCCAAGTGCAAAAATTCAGAGATTGGTCCAAAGAACAGAAATTGGTATTCAAGCCTAATAAATCTAAAATTATGATAATTAAAAGAAAGCATATCAGCTATATAAACTAACATCTTTACTTGGATAATACCTTACTCGAAACGGTGAATGAAATTAAATGTTTAGGCATTATTCTTGATCATAAGTTTTGCTGGAAAAATCATATTATATATTTATCCAATAAGAGTGAAAATATACTTACAGAACTTAATTGTGTATCTTGCAATAGTTT